AGCCATGATCATAATGGAGGGCTGAATGTCGTGATCCACCTTTTGTATACCTTTATGTTACTATGAATTTTTCAAATCCATTTAGGTGCCCTCGCCTCTACCCTGATGATCAACCTTGGGACCAGGTTTGTGTCTGTAAGATGTTCATTGCATGCGTTCAGTAAGCCCTTGGGTGAGTGATGTTAATCATTATTTTATCGTTTTTCTATAGAGTTGAGAATTGGGTATAGATTAATTTGAAGTAAAGCCAAAATGCATTATACAGATGGTCAGAGTGGGAAAGCAGGGATCCAAGAGGGGGAAAGAATCAGATGAAATATAATTCTTTAAAATGCAACCTCTTTTTAAATTTTCCAATAAACTAGCAGGAAGAAAATAAAATATTCAAACTGTTTACAATAGAAGAAATACCTTGCTTTATTTTAATTTAACCATTTGAAAGAGATGTGTTTTCATTTGCTGAATAATCATTGTGAATAGAAAAGGGAATAACATGAAGCACACATTGATACAGTGGAATGGGACAGATGTAAAGAACATTAAAGGAAGACAAAGATAGAGCTGCAAAAGGAAATTTTAAAAAAAAAAATGCAAGAGGTATCAAGATTAACACAAAAAGATTTCGCAATTGTGTAGGAAGACCAAAAGTAGTAAAGGATGGTGTAGGTTCATTTAACACACATGATGAAGTTGATATTGCAAGTGTAAGAAGTGAAAACAATCTTTACAGTGAAGTCTGAGATGATTTTTAAAAGAAAAAGGAAGAGTGTAAAAAGTCTGGTATTCCAGGGGGATGAATAATGAATTAAGGATTGGAACTTGCTGGATTGAACGTAAGAAAACTGTATTAGAATCCAGCAGAGATTATTGCTTCTATCCCAGGGTTTTATTCATTTCCCTAACCAACCTGCTGAGAGATGTTATGATGCACCTCTAGAGCAGGCAGGATTTGAACCCTGTTCTCCTGGCTTAGAGATGGGTCACAATACTGCACCACAGAGCCCCTATCCCAGGGTTTTAAAGGAAGTAGGTAAAGAAATTTCAAATGTTTCATTCATAGTCTTCTAGAGCTCCCCTAATTCCAGAATTGTTTCTCATTCAAAAGGACAATGTAAAGTCACTGGACATTAAAAGTACTAGAAACTATAGTCTCTTAGTCTTGCATCTGGTTGGACAGGGATTAATAATTAACCACGCACGGCTCTTGTGGTGCGGTGATAGTGTCTCTAACTCTGAGCCAGGAGGCCTGTGTTCAAATCCTACTTGCTTTAGAGGTATATAATAATGTCTCTGAACAAGTAGATTAGAAAATCACTATTAATTTCATGGTGACTAATTCAGAACGTTTTGAGCTGTTTAGAGAGCAACAGAAGAAACATTTAAAGGTTTGGGCATGTCCAATGAATAATTGATTTTTTTCTTCTGAGGAAGTAACTTTAGTAAGCAGGGCTATGAAGATGGGAGTAGTTTATATTGATTGTGATTAGGTTGAGCATAAGGGATTATTATCTTAAGTTCAAGCTCACAGAACAGAAGGACTATTGGTGACGTTGCTTAAAAAAAAATTGGTTAGAAAACAGAAGACAATAATGATTGTGGGTATGTGGTTGAATTGGAACAAAGGGGCTAGTTGTCTGCCAGAAAGGTCTGTTTTAGAGCCCTAACAATAATATTTATTAGATAACAATGCAGAACCATATTTACAAATAAGCCAATGCTGTAAATATTGGTGGTACAGAAATTATTAGCGTGGTGAAAATAAATCATAAGACATCTGTTGATTGAATGGGTCAATACAGTCCAGCTAAATGTGGAATCATACATATTGCCAAAACTTGATAGATTTGAGTACTTGTTAAATGGTCAACAGCTGGAGGTTTAAAGAGACAAAGATGGATTATCGAAACTCAAAAAAGCTGGTAGATTGTTGACCTTTATAACTAGATGAACAGAATATGAAGGAAACAGATTGTGCTACACTATACAGTGCCCTGGTTAGACCATCACTGGAGGTGCTGTGTATAGGCTTGGTGTGGCACCTCCAAAAAGCTATACTGCAGCATAAGTTCACCAGAACGTTAATAGGGCTCCAAGAGTTAGATTATATGAGCCCTGGAAAGCGAGTGGAGTTCAAGAGATTAGCTGATTTGAGAGACTTAGCGTTTTGGAAAGAATTGATGAGGTAACTAGGCTTTTCTTTCATTGGGGGAGTCCAGGACAAGGGAAAATTAGCTTAAGATTGAAAACCTGTCATTCTTGACAAATGTTAGGAAACGCTTCTTTGGATCCCTCTTGTGATGCAGTGGCATGGTCCCTACCCCTGGACCAGGAGACCCAGGTTCAAGTCCCACCTGCTCCAGAGGTGTGTAATAACATCCCTGACCAGATTGATTAGATTAGGAAGCACTTCTTTGTCTGAAGTATGGTTGAAGTGCCAATCTGTCTCTCTCTCGCTAAGAAAAAGTGGTCCATGTGAGTTAAGTTTATAATTTTGTAGCTGAGATTACTAGATCTTTGCTAGGCAATGCACTAAGAGATATGGAATCAAGTTGGGTCGATGAATTCAATGTACATAATCACATTGAATGGCAGAATTGTCTGCTCTACTTCTATGTAAAGTGAAAATGATATTTAAAAAAAAGTGCCCGAGCATGTTGTCAAGTGTTGCAAAGAAATCTTCAGTCTGTGACTATTGAAAACAATGACATTTTAAAAAGTAGAGCTTTTTGCTTTTTTCACACACATACATGTGCACTATATATACTGTATGACCTTTATTGTCTCATTTCACTTCATAAATTTGAAATCCTAGCCTATCTTGAGAATGGTGTGTTGTTAATATTCACTTGCCTCTTGGAGAGAAATTAAGTGCAGTAGGCAATAATAATCTAGATAATGATCCTCAAAGGACGCAAGGCCTCTGTAATGGCAATGTACTATGGCTTTTTGGAATTTTCTTTACCATAGATGTCAAAAGTTTTAGTTCAGGGAATGACATCTAAATTGTGGATGACAAAGAAGATGTAATTGGGGGCCTGCGGAGTGTTGCAGAACAAAAGGATGTAGAGGTGCAGGTAATAGTTCCTTGAAAGTGGAGTCACAGATAGACAGTGGTAAAGATGATGTTTGGCACACTCGCCTTTATTGGTCAGTGCATTGAGTATAGGAGTTGGGAGGTCATGTTGCAGCTGTCCAGGACATTGGTTCAGCCAGTTTTAGAATACTATGTTCAATTCTGGTCATTCTGCTTTAGGAAAGATGTTGTTAAACTTGAAATAGTTCAGAAAAGATGTTACCAGGGCTGGAAGGTTTGAATTATTGGGAGAAGCTGAGTAGGCTGGAACTATTTTCCCTGGTGCGTTGGAGGCCGACAGGTATCCTTACAGAGGCTTATAAAATCATGAGGGGCATTTGTAAAGCGAATAGCCAAGGTCTTTTTTCCTGGGTAGAGGAGTCCAAAACTAGAAGGCATAGGTTTAAGTTGAGAGGGGGAAGATATAAAAGGGACCTGAGGGGCAACTTATTCACGTGGATGATGGCACATGTATGGAACAAGCTGCCAGAGGAAGTGATGGAGGCTGGTACAATTACAACATTTAAAAGGCATCTGGATGGGTTTATGAATAGGAAATGTTTAGAGGGATGTGAGCCAAATGCTGGCAAATAGGACTAGATCATTTTATGATATCTGGTCAGCATGGATGAATTGGACTGAGAGGTCTGTTTCTATGCTGAATAACTCTGTGATTCCCTGAATCCTCTGGTCAACACAAGGTAGTAGCTTTTGTACACAACGTCCCACTTTCTTGTCTTGCCCATCCATTACTGATTTGTGCCCATATGCATTCTATTTCAAATACTTGACCTCTTTCTTTTAGAGGGTTTTGTGCTTCAATCACCACCACTAACAAAACGTATCACTTAATCACTCTCGTGACATTCTGCTTCATGGATCACAACTGCATTCTTTTATGAACCAACTCACTCACAACATGTGCATACAACCCACATAATCTTCCTCTTCCTGAGTTGAAAAATCTCATCTGTTGTCTAACTAACTGTTTTGCCTTGTACTGCGATTGACAACTTGCCAATGGGACTAGAAAACCCTACCCCCAGACAGTACTGGGAAGAAGCAAGGGGATTAAAAAGATAGAACATGAACAGATCTTTTGCAGCACATTTCTTACCACAATAGCACTGTGTTCCTGCAACATTGCAATCAGAAGCCTATACAAAACACAACATAATACAAAATGAAAGAAACACTCAGCAGGTCATGTAGCATCCGTCAGGAGAGAAAACAAAACATTGAATCTTACTTTTTTTTTAGCCAGGTATCAGTTTCATCATGTTTCATAGAGGATTTCTCACTGCACGGCTTGGGCAGATCTTTCACTGTATCTGATCAAACTTGCCTT